CTTTTTCAATTGTAATAAATGATTTTGCTTTTCCGAGAGATTCAAATCCACGAGAAAATTGAATAATTAGGAAACTATACCGAGTAGTTGAGAAACATAAATCAACAAAAATGTGTTGTTGTTGTTTTTTATATAAAAAAAAAGTACAATCTTATTTTACAACCCCCTCTACCTGCTGAACTGTAGGTTAAATATTCTTCGTGTCGATACAGGCGCCTCCTAGCGGCTAGCGTACAGATATCACATTGTTTAGCTTTGTGCTTAACAACAAACAAACAAATATATCGATACAGACTGCCATGAACTTCCTGGAAAACTGAAATAATCTCCACTTTAGTATGATACCAATAAAATATTTTATATTTAATTTGCAAGTATAAAAATCAGTAAAATATTTATTGAAAATAAACCACTTGGTGTCCTTTCGTTTAAACAATTAAACATTTTGAAAGCGACTTAATCATCTTCCAAAATAAAAAATACACAAGCCAAGACAAAATCATGAATTATATACCTTTACATATATATAAGGTTGTTGTTTGGGTTAGAGCAAAGTTACGCAATGGAGCATCTGTTCACCACAGGGAAGTGAACCCCGAATTTCAGCGTTGTAAATCCCGAAACCCACAGGGATATGTTGATATAAGGTTGTTGTTTGTTTAGAGCAAAGCTACGTAATGGACCATCTACGCTCTGTCCACCGCATGGAATCGAACCCTACATTTTAGCGTTGTAAATCCCGCAACATTCCTCTGACCCACAGTGACATAAATACATAAATTGAGAGCTAGAAAGCCATTGAACAACTACTTAACCGTTTCGATAGGAAGTTTGATTTTTTATCGTAAACATTTGTTAAGTAAATCTTTAAAAAAAAAGAAAACAAACAAAGAACAATTATGGAGTCTCTCAGAATTAATTATTTCCGATTGTCAAAAAATCATTATCTTGGAGTTGACGACATGCGTTTAGAGACCAAATTTTGTTACCTTAAATAATAATTTTCACGTGTCGCGGCACGAAAATGTAACCACTCACCCCTAGATATGAAAATCTAACCGCCCATCTCTATAACAACCCAATTTCCGTTTATAACAAAGCTTAATTAATTACTTACGTCACAGCGAAAACATTTCGCGGCTTTGGGTGGTGAACGAAAGTTGCACAATTATTAAATCTCTGCAAACGCATTTTGCCAAATTTAAAAAGAGGAAAAACATTTGTGGAAAATAAACCTTAAATGATGGTTAAATAACCTTAAATTCAAAGGTTATTTAACTTTTTTAGTCTTCAGTATCAATAAGAACGTTTTGAAAAAGTTCACAAAGTATCACAAATGGACATTGATGGGAAAATAATCAAAATTAATCAATAATGAGTTACATAATTATTATAGTATTTTGTTTTTCTTATTTTGAATAAATGTTAAATGAATAAAGTGATAAATATACAAAAATACAGAATATTCCAGCTATTGGTTAGATCTGTAATTTTTCTATTTCGCTGAATCAAACTTCCCGTTCTCGGTGGGACAGTGGTAAGTCTGAGGACTTACAACGCTAAAATCCGGGGTTCGATTTCCCCCCGCAGTAGACACTGCAGATAACTCTATGTGGCTTTGCTCTAAAAACACAAACAGACAAACTTTCCGTTTACAGCTCCTCGATGTTTTTAGATGAATTGTGTCTGGGGTTTTATTCCTGCACGTGCATCTTAAGATTTGGGGGCAATAGAGCAGATCATCTTCCTGTTAGGTTACGTTGAATGAAAGGGTAAACTTGGAATGATTGGTAAAAATAAGCTTTCTGTGCTAAAGAACTTGGAGCCAGCCAAAGAAGAGCGGAATACAAGGTTTAAAAAGAGAATATTGGATATGAAATCCAGATAATATTGCTATTAAAATGGATTTAATTGTTAGAAACATGGGGCTGTAATTTTAACGGATATGGAATGCCCTCATATATATTTTAAATGTTGGTTATTAGAACGATAGCTTCTGGTCACTGGGGTCGGTCTCTAACAGGTGTCCACCTGAAACAAAACAAAAACAAAAAAAACACGAAATAAAATGTAGTAATTCGTTTTTGGGGGGGGGGGTGTTGTTTCCTTTGTATAATTCAACTGTTTCTGTCATAATTAGCAATTATTATCTTATCAATTGAATTATCTCATTTTAACGAATGACAAGTTCTTTGTACCAATGAACATTAATAGTTTTCCCTGTCGCATACGTAAAACCACGTTTTGTGACATCATTGAATAATGGCGAGGGTAAAGATAATAGATTTTTTTAAAACTTAATGACATTTAATTGGTTAAATATTTATGTCAAGTTTAATGTGTTATTCATACTCCTAATTACTAGCTTGTCTAATTATAAAAATGTATTCACCGTTATAATGATTGGTCCTATACATTCTTCTTATATTTTACGTTATATTTATAAGCCTAATGTTAGACACCAGGATGGGCTATATCATAGAAATAAAGAAAGGACAATATTTAAAATTTTCAAGACTTGAACCCAGGAACGCTAGCTCACAAGGCCATGCTCTATCATTGAACTATCCAAGAGTACAAGCCAGAGGTCCTGGGTTCAAGCCCTAGTTCTCTTATCGGCTTTTTCGTGTAAAAATCAACCATAGTGATACTTGTATTCTATACTAGTAGTAGTATAAAGTAATACTCTCTCTATGGGGCTACACTATGTTTAGTGGCGGCCCCGCAGCTAATATTGAGGAGGAGGCGCGGGCGACGATGTTTTTACCCCCCTCCCCCCAAATAGAGAACAGGTACTCACGTTTGGCGTTTCGATTTATTTATGAGCGAAGTTGAGTCTTTTTTTTTCTTTTTCTTTTTACTGCCAATAGATTAGACTCGCCATCTTGAACTGTAAAACTTTAAAATAGCCTCCAAATCAAGGGAAATCGTTACCACACGTCATTTAATAAAACTCACTTTTAGTTATTTGTAAAAGAATACATTTATATATCGGCTCTTGATCACTGTGACCTTGTGTGTAGGGATCACCTGTTTTAACCACTCGCACCACTATATAGTAGTGTATTATCTGTCAGTCAGTCAGTCATTAAAATGACGTCACATAAGGGACGCTTAACGTTGTAATTTGTACTGTCGTGACGTCAGTAAAACGTGCACATGCCATGAATCACGAGAAGAATTATGCACTCTGTAGGCTACATCACAGTATGACATACGAACTTC